GACCCCCGCCACTTGCTTGGACATATTTCATACCTGTTAGTGGTCCGCACTGGCCAGCTGTAGTCACGCACACTCACGCCTGTTGCGTAGCAACCTGTGTCATGCTGACGGAGATTATATCAGCTTCCCGCGGGACTTAACCGTGCTACGACCGGCCGGGTAGCAACCCGTCTGATGATCACGGACGTCTCTGAAATCGTGTCACGTTTTTAGGTTGCGGCTTCAGATTAACTAGAAGTGTCTAAACACACCACCTTTTACATGAATAGATTAAGGTAATTTAGCAACTAAAGGCTACTCTGAGGCGTGGACATTGAGTCGCTTCGTTACACACACGGCGATGGCCTGACGTTAGCGGTTCAATTTTATATAGAGAAAGGGAAACAAAATATGAGTTTCACGAACGAAATGGTGGTTCCCATGTGTGTGACCTCCACCCATCTCTAAATTGTAATATTGTGAGGCAACTACAGTATTCCAAACTAACATTAGCCGTCCAGATGGCGCTAGGGAGTGTAGATTGAAACACCCTAAACCGCCGATGATATCAAGCATTACTATGTGAAGCGCTTATGTATTTGATCAAAAGGTTAAACCAGGTGAATGTGTGGATCAATAAATGCGATGCGCCTACTTCTCAAAATGCAAATGAACACAGCATTAAGTTGACTTCGGATTAAATAATCTGGATTGAGAGCCATAGCAAACAGAATTCTTTGACAGGGACAATGGTTGGGTAAAGGCTAATGAGAATCACAGCGAGGGGATCATTGAGCGAAACGAACCTATCACAAGATAGGGCCTTCGAGATTCTTCCACACCATTTTAGGATACATCATCATGCCCCCTATTGTGACACAACTTCCGACAGACAATGGGCGACGAACTTCACGGCCTGTCTCATTCAGGCATTTTTGCGTCATTTAAACTTATTCCCATACAATTCGCCTGGTGCTGCGTCAACCATGCCTTTCTTATATGGGCCATTGTTTGCAATGAGGATGTCATCCCGACCGGTGATGCCATCCATTCACCAAGCCCGATGAACATCTCGACGTCTGAACACAGTATGTTTGTAATTGGAGCGACAGCTAGACTTGCTGGCCAGCTCAAGTAGGTGATCTTATGCGCGTGTATCACAGATTCATTAGCGGCTTCGTATCAGACTAGGTTCCTGTCCGCTGTTCAGTTTCACTACTGTCATTCAGACTGTTGGTGTGCACCAGCATGTCTCTGCCTCTGTTGATCGATTATTACCTCTGCCCGCCGGGTTTTTTACGGCTCCACAGAACGGCCCATATTCCCAATATGCAAAACGCCCCGAACTGGATGGCTGTCAAGAGAACGAAGCAGCTAACTTTGCTTGCTTAGGGCTTATTGATTTACCACACTGTCTGCTACATTTTCAGAAAAGTATTTTGTCCAACATCAGCTGGTGGACCTCGGGTTTATCAGCTCGCTGGTCACGTGTGCGAGGAATGTTTCACACCCTCTATTCCAATGCGATTAGCCTTTGATGAAGCCCAACAATATTCCGACTGGCTATGCGATTCTACGGTCACCCTTTTTGACTGTTTGATCTGTCAGTCACTGATTACCTGAACAAGAAGGTGAGACCTTCGGTTTCCGGTTTAATAACTGCTAAAGACAGAACCACTATATAGTGTAGATTTGCATTATTTACAGGCTCCTGTTGACTTCCCCGAATGTGCCCTGTACCGCCTGCCCCTTAAATTACTGAAAATGTCAGACAACTCATGAACATTCTTCTGATCGCCCAATGTAGTTATCCGGCATCATTCGGAGTCAACATCAATCTTTTTAGTACTAATCTCACAGTGATTCGCGGTAGATCATTCAAAGATCTTAACAGTACCCCACGTTTACAGCTGCAGCTTCCTGATTTCCATCTTTCGAATGTTTATCCTAGAGTGTTTTATCAGACACCAGATGAGATTTTCCTCCGCGTACTCCAAACCCAGTAGATGTTCGCGTTATGGACCCACGATACCCATGCGATGGTCGATATAGGGTCGTTCGTATTCACTTCCGCCATTAAGTAGAGTATGAGAAGGGAAATAAGGCAGCATGACATGTTCACTTAGTCGTGGTATATTTTGGCCACAGCTCCCGCCACAAATCCGGGAAATTCAATGCAACAAATCTAAGCATCTGAGGTTTACCTGCCGGACAACCATAGCCACAAGCAGTTGGACACCCACCATCAAGTCAGTGAACCGGGCCATCACATGCACTTTTACTTGGGTGTTCCACTCATGTCCTTCACGAAGAGTGAAAATATTGGCGGTGCATTGTTCACCGAAACGAAAGCCAGCATAGCTTCCACCGACTAGGATCACTGATGGACCTGAACTATTCCGACGCGATGACATGAGACCCATCTGTTGATTCACGGAATACTTCCCCCTACATCCATTTTTAATGATGCTTGGGTAATAGGTAATCGGCACTGTGCCGGGTAACCCAACTATCGCACCTGGGTCGGTCATCGGTGAGTCATCGTCGCCCCATGGGAACAATGGGGTGGGGTCCCCGGAAGCAAAGCTTTATTCCGTCCTGCCACAGCAATTTTCTACTTGATTTGTGGCGTCACGACGGACCGCATGGGGTTATTTGAATTGTCCACCTCGACTTTGAAGCCGTCTTCTCTGGTTTACTCTCTTGAGCTTTTTTCTAATTTATTATGGTGGCGCGTTGCTCGACAGTTTCTGCTAACACTAGCTCTTTCTTGTCCGCTAGAACTCATCACTGACCAGCGTTGTTGGCTGATCTTGACTCTTGCTCAAATGTCGTGCCATCATTCTGTCATCTTTGTGAATTTAACTATCTAATGGAACTCTCCCTCCTCTCTTACGGCGGTGGTCGACACCACACGCATATAACCACTCCACTGATAATAGGAAACAGACGGATATGTAGATACCAGACGCCTTTACATTGTGCCATATAGATTGTATCATTCTTCATTCGGCTTATCCGCCTGCGTGTTGGTTTAAGGTAAGCAGACCACTCTGTTTATTGATCGTGGCTCGTGCAACTTGTTTGACCTTGTGTCTGGGTTATGTTGTTAGACCTCCGTTCGGTTGTTTTGCAAGAGAATATCTGTTCAACCCGTGTGCCTTGCCAAATTGCGATTGATTATAACACATACGGTAACCGCGGTTCAACTTGGAACTGTCTAAGCACTTGCTACCATGGACACATACTAGTCCAACTGTTTTGCGTGGGGATTCCACTGTCATCGCATTCATGCCAGACCTGCTGTAACCGTTCATTTGGTCAGCACACGCCATTCCCACTTATATTTCGGAACAGGTAAGACGTTCCTCAGTGAATCAGTATTTTCCAGCATACTTAAAACGCTGGAACAGCGGCAACCACAGCCACTCCCGTTGTTGACGATGTTCATCGTTCTACACTGTAGATGTTTTTTCCGTATCCGTCCATCTAGTCTGACCTGCCATTGCTGTCATTACTTGCTAGCTGAACTACGCTCTGACGTTTGTGCAGTCTGATGGCGCGGTGACTCATCTGCTCCAGTTCGTACCATCTTGTGTGTATGTGTGCGAGTTGCGAATCTGACCATAGAAGGGTTGTTCCGTAGATGGTAGTCTGGATGTGTGACGCTAACCGCTTAAAGTGTACGGATACTCGTACCTCGTCCGTTCCAATACCTGGAGCACACGTTTGACTTAGTAAACTGAGAGAAGTGCTATTCATCTAGTAGTCTTACCATTTGAATACAACCACCTGTTTTACGCTCTCTGTCCCTTTCTCTCACCTCATACTTTGGTATCTATATTGAAACGCAATCCGGCATCGTTGATATGATTTGTATCGAGGCGTCTCGAATACTGAGATAGATTGCCACGTTAATGGTGATACTGCTTTGGCATGCGATCATTCTTGATGTCTACTGATTTTACCTCTACCATTGTTAACCAATTCACTCATGGCCTCACCGCGATGCGGCCTTAGAATGTTGTCAACCAATTGCATCGATGACTTTATGTTTGGATGGCAGCATTCGGGTTACCTCAGCCACTGACATATAGCCGATTGCACTACCACTTACGGATTTCTTGAATGACGACTCCCGGTGTCGGTAATTCGTATTAGGGCGGCTGGTGCCTTTCCTGCCTTCGGCCCTTTGATTTCGCACAGCTATTGTACCTTTCTTTTAATCCCTTTCGGATTAACTTCTTCGCTTGCTTTCCCCCCGTTTTGTTTACATATTCCTTGTTAACGATCACACGAGTGCCGGCAACCGGTACGACACCTAACAGTTGATGAACTGAGCTGACCACGTCACGGGGCGGTTAGTGACACATTTATCCGCCATCCAGACCACTAAAACTTCACAATTTGGAATGATGCCATCCCACACCACAGTAGTTCGCAAATTGTGTCAAATCCGGACCTTAGTTGAACACTGGCTAAACATCCTTCGCCATTTACCTACTCGCCCTGGTGTTCCATCCATCTTCAAGGACCATCTCAGGAAAAGTCTTGAGAATCACCGTTTGCGGAATGCATCTTTCGATTATAATTGAAAAGCAATGTTGCATTTCATCTTGATTACTCTTCGTACCACTCACCATCAGAATCGTGAGTAACGAGCACGACAGTAATCCTTTAATCTATGTGCTTTTATCGATATTGCCAATCACGATTACACCAAATAAATCGTTCGATCCAAATGATGCTAACGATTGCCGAATCGATGGTGCAATGAACCGAAACTACTGCGTTTACGTGCTACGCTGTTACCTGGGTAGTCCACGCACAACAGACTGAGTGTCAATCTTCTCTGCATTATTCCTACTTCCTATCGCGCATTTTTAGAGCAATCTTAATCATCCCCCGCAACACAGATTGAAGCATTCCAACCGACTCCGTTAACAGTGGGTTTCACTTCATAACCACCTTCATCGCTTCCTGTCTCCAGTCCTTGTTTTGCTTTCCTCCATTTTGTACAGTGGTAAGGCACCCGCGTCGCAATCGTGTGGAATGTCTCCTGTGGACAGTCCGAAGCGTGACGTAGCTATCTGCCGCACGTCCCGTGAGTTACACGCATTGTTGACTGTGTCACCTGGACTGCTTCACTTTGGCCCGGATGGATCGCCCATTTCGATGAAGGTGGTACAAGACACATTTGAGGAAGACATTGCTCGAATTCGGAGCAAAGCCAAAGTGCTTTTCAGTCTACTCAATATGCCCATGACGACGAATTTGGTAACGACTTTGAGTTTCTAAAGCACATATTACCCGTCTTCAATCGATATCCATTTGTTAGCATTCCCCTTAAAGCATTTTGCTGTGATGTACCTCCATTCCTCCTGTATGAGTGTTTTCTCTCCAGTTTTTTTTGCTCTGTGCTTACATATGAAGCAGCTTGTCTCTGTTCGAATTACACGGCTGTGGTTGTGCGGTACCTGCTTTTATCCTGAATTTACCACACAATCGGATTGTATCCGCAGGACCGATCACGTTACTCGGCGAATGCTGAATACTGTATGTGGAAGCAAGTAGAAGTTTATATCTGTACAACTCCATCGCAATATAATCAAACATGTTACAAAAAGTGTCTACATTCAATGATAATCAACTCGTTCGACAAGTTATTATGTATCATCTTAGAATAACTGGGTTCACAAATGCAGGATGTCATTGCCAGGGAGCAATCGTTCTGGTGATATAATGTAAATCCAACAACGTTTTGAACTGCTGTACTGGTTTGGCCTCCACGACTTGTTCTGGTACACTGTTCCAAACATTTACCACTCTCCGTTCGAAGGTCGGTGGGTTGGGTAATCGTTACATATCCGGTCCCACAAGCTTATACCGATGTCCGCATGTGCTGCATTACGTTCACAAGTGAAGCAGCGGCATCAACATGGGGAAGTCACCGCGACGTAATATACGGTAGATCATGCTGAGATCAACTCTCACCCTACGATAAGACAAGGTGTAGAGTCCTATTATCTTGCACCGGTCTTCGTACCACTATTCTCCTAAACTTGGAATGAAACTGGTAGCGATGTGTTGGGCCACTTCGATTTCCTGTGCCTCGCCTCGGATGATTAAGCAGTAGTCACGTGGGCCGTATTCCATTGCTGGTCTTATGATGGAAGAGAAGAGGCGAGTGGCGACCTCTTCAGACCAAGTACAGAAGCTGCGTTTGATCGCCCAAAGCATGCGCAGCCGTTAGTATATAGTCTGTTCGTGTTGTCAGTGGACTTCAAATCGCAGCTCAAGAGTGCACATAAGTCCTTCACGGAAAGTGTGGGATGTAGCGGTTGGCCGTTAATGGCATAAATTCGGCCATTACCACCCTTCCCCAGGCTTATAACTACCGAGTTGGATGGGTTGACCGAGTGGCTAAATTCCGCAGACCACATGGAAAGGCGGTTGAGGTTTTGCTGAAGTAGGCTGCAGTCGTCGAATGTGCTCTTCACTCTTCAAGTCATCCACAGACAGGGCACACAGCGACTAAAGAAGCTGATGTGTATTGGGAATTGAGTGGGATCCAGCACCGTGTCTTGAAGTACTCCACTAGCAGATGGATACCAGTCAGTTAGATTGCCGTCGATCTGTAGTCTCCGCTTTCGTCCAACGAGAAAGTCCTGGATCCACTGGTGCTGTGATCCAAACACTGCCCACTCTGAGCTTGTGGAGAAGGACCTCATGGTTTGCCTTGTCGAACGCTTTACTGAAATCAATGTAGGTTACGCCGACAGACTTCCCCTGATTCACTGCCTGCAACAATTCGTCCCTTGCTACCACCCGGCTGATAATGGATGAGAGGCTTAGCATAAAACCGTGCTATGCGGGCGTCAGTAGATCTTTTGATTGAAGCAGCTGTAGTGCACCCTTCTTCACGATCTTCTCGGCAACGTTAGCCAAAATAGGTGCCAAACAAATCGGCCTGTAGTTATCCGCTTTACTGGGATCTCCACTTTTTGGAATTGGCTTAACCACTGAGCATTCCCACTCGCTCGAATAGTGATCTGTCGAACAAGTCAGTCACCGCAGGTATGATGATGGCCGATAGCGACTTGAGAATCAGTGAGTGGAGTCCATCAGGGCCAGCAGCTTTGGTGCCGTCAAGGCTAGCGAGTAGTTGATGCACCTCCTCAACACCGCAAACCAAACTGTCGAGTTCGGTAAGCGCTGTGCACACCGAACTCTGTACAGACACATAGTCATTTGCAAACACGAAATCGAAGTGCGCCACCAAGTCGGACGCACGCTCAGTACTGGAGGTTAGAGGTTGTCCGTCGGAGCACTCTAGCACTAGCAGACCAGTTACTGTTTAGAGGCGCCGCTTCACGTATGCAAATATTCTCTGCGACGGTTGCGATCTACTATTCGAAATACCGGCCCTTGCTCGTTTTTTCACTATTGCAACTATTTCGCTGTCTTCTATGCACCCCGTAATCGTTGAAACAGCTGGAGAGGGAGGACTTGGCCCCACAACTTGCGCCGCCGCCGAGCCAAAGTGCAACAAAAATTGTATAAAATCCAGCTACACACGCACACATGCTTACATTCATGTGTCAACAGTTATGACAATACTATTATACATTCCATGATCATTTGTTGTACTCTTACTATGATCATGCCTATGCAGGCGTGTCTCGCTTAGTCAAGAATATAATCTGTTTATTCATTTTATTATACTCCTTGCCGAACCAATGCAGCTTGACTGTCTAACTTTCCGACACTTCACTGGTATAAACTAAGCACATTAATTTCACTCTCATTAATAACAGTCCAACAGCCTTTCAATGATGCAGCTTACGGCAGAGATCAATCTACTTGGATCGCGGCTTGTGTCTGACTTTCGAAGCTAGTTTTTCAGTAGTTGTAAGATGATTTCAGCGGACGGGAATAAGGTATAGATTCATACTGGCTAGGAGCACTGAGTGATCGATTGCTGCTACGGTCTCTAGGACCTGAACGTCATACACATGTTGTTCTTATCTTGTTAACATCAAGTTCAAGCATGACGGATTTGAGCGCGGCGTTATTCGAGTCAGATGGTATATGTGTTTCGCTGCTCCACTTTCAAGTACTAAGTCCAAGAACTTTGTTTCGACCTTGCAATGTTCTGGCATCAATTCAACTTCAGGCCAGCGTATCCGAGGATAATTGAAATCATCCATGAGTAGAAAATGGAGACGACACGTGTCTACGGAGATGCGACAGCTAATCAAAACAGCGGCTCAGAATACTACCATAAAATGCACCCACGAGCAGCTCTCGGCATCTGAGGTGGATCGAGCATCACAGCTGCTCACACAGACCATCATCGCTACTGTAGACGCTTACAACTCACCCACACAGGGAGGACCGGATGTAAAACATGGCTCCGCTGCGTGCAGTCGGTAGTCTATCACTGCGGAAGCATGAGTAGTCACTGTGTTCAATTTCCTGGGCTATCATCTAAGAATTCAGCCAGGTCTCTGCGAGTCCCATTACGCCTGACCGCTCAGATGCAATGAAACGACAGAGTTCATCGCGCTTGTTGACAAGACTGTAAATAATGCTAAAGACTGCATGCGTGCCGCATCAAGAACCACCGGGCGCGCTTGAAGTGTGAGCAGCCACTTTATCCTGCTTCGTGAATCTTGAAAATGACCCGAAAATTTACGATACGGCTACTTGTTTCCCCGTCACCATTTCGTCTCTCCAGGTCATTGGTTGTCGACTTGTGTCGTTCTCGATCAACCGGATCTAAGTATAGACGAACTTGAAGTTTTAGACCCTTTTAAACGGGATCAGATCAGCCTCGGACTGACTTCATCCAAAAAGCTGGTTCTCATTGACCGACTTTGTCGATCACCTTTCTTTTCAAGATGAGTAACGCCTCCTTTTCAACCCGTCCTACCCCACGTTAAGGAGTCTATCTATTAGGCGCTTTAAAAAATTGATGTATCTGGGGGTTCGGATCATTGCACTCAAGCGCATGTATGTTCACGAGGTTTAAACACCTTTGATCCGCCAAAGTGGACCTTATGAGGTGAGGATTTTCTTGCGCCTTGCGTGGGCTGGCCTATCGTTGATTTGTAGTGACTTAACTCCTCATTTTTCTGCGTTTCCATTTTTGTACTTTTCACATGCCTTCAGTACACAGGCCTTCACACACCGGGTCATCTGTGCCTGTAGGATACAACACGTGAAATATTCGTGTCAGGTGTACCTGAGGTGCTGGTAACTGCGGGACTTCGTGCCGGTGAGTCTGCACGGAACGAACAGGAAAGCTTATCTGAAACCTGGAGGCGCTTCAGCCTAGCTTGTTGGACCAAACACACAGAGCTGCTCAAATAAACTATCTTCTCCGCTGTTTGTACTGGCAGCTTCTCCTTGGGGAGTCTGCTATGGATTTGAATGAATTTCTCAGGACACCCATTGGATAGTAGTGTCCGGTATAAAAACTCCTTTTCAGCCTTGAGAAATTCCGGACTGCAAATCTGCCTGGTCCTGTACAAGAGTTTTTTACGAGGCCCTCGCTTGTATGCGACTGGGACAAACCTGGAAAAATGTAGGCATTGTCCCCCCAGGTCGCTTTTCTGTACACTACACGAAGGATTCCTCTCCACAGCCGTCCGAGTAGCTCGCCAATCATTTCGGCCTCTAACATCATATACCAGTTCACTCGCAGTTGTGGCGACACTTACATCGGCAAGGCTGGTTGCCGGCTGGCTCAAAGGGTGGCGAAACACTTCCCATTGTAGCTAAGGCAGTTGCTGTCTCACCAACGCGGAGCGGAGCAGTGAATGAACCGGAACCCAGCCGCGTCTATCACCAAACACCTAATGACGACTCGTCACCAAATGAACCCATTCGATTCATTCAAGGTGCTATTGCGCAACAGAAATCCGACGTTGTTGTCAATTGGGGAGGCGCTACTAATAAGGTTGAGTTGTCCCGTGCTCTGTGCCCAGAAACAACTGAGGCAATCAATTAGGTTGCATCGGACCTGATTACGTCATTCACATCAATTTTATCTGCTTATCTATGTTACTAAGTGTGGACCGTATTTATTGCGTGTTTTGTTCTGCCTGTATTGCGTAGTGACTGACGAGAGCAATCGAAATGTTAACATATCGCAACCTATGTCTTCTTACTTCGTTAATATAGTGGTTGAAGGGGTTCAGTTTTTCAAAGTATCTTGTTTTCCGTCGACAAGTAGCTTGTGTTCGGGAAACTGCAAGTCTAACCATGTCGTTTACCACCGCCCGATCATTAATTCACCGGGGCTCTTACCAGGCGTTTCGTTCGGTGTGGAGCGATAACCATACAGGAATTTGTCTAACCTTGTTCGCAATGGAGCCAGTATTTGTTTTCTTAGGCCGTTCTTTCAGCTACGCCATTAGAAGCGGGGTGGTAAGATACCGATTTCACATGAGATTTGCCGTTATTTTTCAGAAGCTCTTGAACTTCCTCTCTCGTAAACACCGAGCCATTGTCTGTCGCCAACATGTCCGGTATACCGAAGGTTGTAAGGCACGTTTGCATGCATGACATAGTCTCTGACGTGACTCGTGTTAGCGGAAAAACTTCGA